GGGGGAGGAGCAGAAATCATCGCACCTTCGTGACGACTTTTCAAGCTTTTTTCTGATCCTTTCCAACGGTTCTTGGGTGAAACTACTTGGTTTCTTAGGAGCTGCTTTTTTTTCTTTTTCTGCTTCTGATGGTGTGGGGCGTAGCCCCGTCCCTGCCTTCATTACGCATGAGCGACCAATTATCTTCACTTCGTTTTCCACGGCGCAGCCTTTGATGAATACCAGTTAGGAAGCCCAAAGATTCTTTATTCTACTACTATTTATAGTTTTGTCCTTTGATATTGCACTTTGAGGGTACTCCCTTTTTTGTGAAAGTTGTAAACTCTAAAACTTCCTCGGCGATGTCATCCGACATTACTTTTAATTGCTATGTCACTAAGCAACGTTCACGCACTCTACTCAACAGGAATCTGCTCATTGGAAAGGGTGATTAAAGCATAACCAGTAATAATGAGTAAGTCATAAGGTTTTCATTGAAACGCCTCCGATGAGTTTTTCAGAGCTACTGATTGGGAAGCTTTTGGGGAAAGATAAGAGTCCTCCTCTCGCCTGACTGATCAAATCCTAAAATAGAGAAAAGATGTAAGGGCTGCTAAGAATCGAATGAACTTGGAAATGCACTATTAGAAACAGTTTCAGATAAAAAAGTTTATAATACCCAATATTTGTAAAATAAAAGATGAAGGATGTCTCTGTGTCCTAATCATTCCCATTCATGGGATGCGCCCTTGCATTCGACTTCCATTAGGGATCGTAGCAGCGGTTTGAATGGGTGTGTGACCTATACCATGAATTGTAGTTCCCGGCCGGAGTTAGAGCCATTGTCTCTTATGTATATGTATTTTCTTTATGTATTTTATACATACGAACAAGTCTGATACCAGTTGGCCGATTCTGGTGGGATAGAAGACCTGGTCGGCTTGGTTGAGATTCGTTCCCCGGACCATGCGAGCGATAGTGCGCCACTTGCCGCTACTTCACCTATACTCTCCAATATTCCTATTAAATGCAATAGTTGTAAAGTATGCTTGAGTTATAAAACATATCTTGAAGTAATACATAATAAATGGAATTTCGAGGCCACAAATTTGTTCTTCTTATCTAGAACAATACGGCACAAACTGATGATTTATTTAATCTTTTCTTCCTTTTTTTTGTTTCCGTGGTTTTCTTTATTATTTCCAGAAATTGGTGATCAACATAAAGAGTTGTTTTTTGTATAACAATAAAACCAGCAGAGAAGTTTGGCAAGAACCGATTACCCTGTTTACCAAAAAAGCCCCGAAAGTTGCTTTGTCAGTTACTTGCGTACGGACGTAGCGCAATGGCAGGAAGCGCTGCCTTTACGAATTCGATCCGTAGATGAGATTATTTCCCAACCAACAAGTTGATTTTGCTAGCGCTTGTTCTGACCAGCGAAAGGTTCAAGTTTTGGCCTCAACGCTAAAGGAGCCAGTTACTCATTGAATAGCTCACGTGCTCACTCGGAACCGACTGCACGCTTCTATCCTTCCGGGGTTCATTAGCTTTTATCAAACTTGCTTGGGAGGAAAAAGGAAAGGACGAAAAGCAACGAACGTACATCGGCTGTCTTCTGCAAGTCTATGTGAAGGCCCCTATACATATAGAACATCCTTACCTTAACGGTCCTGGATGGGAAATAAAAATAGAAAGAGCATCATCAAAATTAGCCTCCGGAGGCTGTCTTTCAAAAAAAGGTGACAGCTATTTTGAGAAAAGTCACTCTTATGTAATTCATGCTGTACTTACGAAAACCTCTAATCCAGGACCCCGGCCGTTTCTGAGAATTGGGCGATTCTTTGTCAAGTATGTGTTCGCCGGTGGAACGAACCGTGATTAATGAAGTGTGATCATCGTCACCGACTTTCTTTACCAATGGCATGGCCCCCATTGTGTAGGGAATCGCCCGAATACAGAAACCAACCATCCTGNCACTCTTATGTAATTCATGCTGTACTTACGAAAACCTCTAATCCAGGACCCCGGCCGTTTCTGAGAATTGGACGATTCTTTGTCAAGTATGTGTCCGTGGAACGAACCGTGATTAATGAAGTGTGTTCATCGTCACCGACTTTCTTTACCAATGGCATGGCCCCCATTGTGTAGGGAATCGCCCGAATACAGAAACCAACCATCCTGTTTTCGTAATGGTATCTCAACTGTTTCCATCCATTATGCTTCTTTGGTTGGGTGCAGCTGGCTGGCAAGAAAACAGCAGCAGCAACCAAAGAATAGGCCGTGTTTGATGCTGCTATCCTCCAAAAAACATGTTTACCATGCTAGCAGTTACTGGCGGTATGGGAACTGGTTTCCCCTGAAAGTAATGGACAACCCGTAATGTGAGAAGGAAGAGATTAAATTGTCAGATGGTTGAGCAGTTAACGAAGTGGTGCAAGACCCATCATATTCCATTTGATCGACTGAATCTACAGCTGATTTAAGGCCTTATACTGTAGCTATTTGTTGGATACTGTATTTATTTGTCGCGGTTCTGTTTTAGCTGTTTATTTCGATGAGGTTTTATCCGAGCTACCCCAATTGGACTTCTTTCGCTAGTATGAACATGTTAGTAGGAATTTCCGACTTCTGAAGGAACCTTAAGGTCAGCTGTCAAACAGGGCAAATTCCTAGTGTCATACTCCCAGAATGACTCCTTCCAATCTTGAACCAACGACCAACATCGTTATTCATTGCCCCATTTTATTTATTCATTTGTCTATTTATTTGTTCGGGAGGGCAGGTGGCTTAATGTCAAATGGCGCACTGTCATGCAAGATCCGGGGATAGCAACCCTGATCTATGCCCGTCTAGAGCAACCAAGTCCTCAATTCCTCCGGGGTCGATAGTGGTCTACCAGACTCACCTGGGAGGAGGAAGCACTTATATCGGCTGGCTACCGTAGGTCGTTGGGTATGCACCATACCCATCGAGAACCTCCCTACAATTCCGGTGGAAGTCGAATGCGGGAGGCTTCCCAGAAACGGGATGGATTGAGACTAGACTTCACCCTTTTCATCATGTTATTTATTTGTTCAGCTATTCGTATACTGGTCGGGGGAAATGATCGATCAAATTGGTTTTTCCTCCAAACATTTGCTTTGAATGGAATGGGAACCCTTCCAACATCTCGTACATTTTGGATTGACTTTCTGGACGAGTTGTATTGGAAACAGATTGTTTGCCGTCCATCGTTTCGAGCTGTTTTATGGACATGAAGTACTGCTCAAAACAAAGAGATGAACCACCTCTGGGAATGCGCCTTGCATTCGACTTCCTTTTGAAAGTGATCGCCGGTAGTATATATAGTCTACGCAATGGCTGGAAGAGGCTGGCTGGCAGAGGTTGTTTGTCTTTTCGGGCCAGTCTACAAACTATCAATAAGCCAACCACAACAGAACTGAAAGCTAGGTTGGCTTAAGGGGAAATTCGATACGTGACGTGAATCGATCTCGGGATTATGGTGGCACTAGAGGCGCCTCTGACCGCTGTCTCATCCTCTGCATCTTATCATTCGTTTTCAGGCTGACTTCTATGTACCTTTTTAATTTCGCTCATAAATTTTCACGTTTTCTCAACCGTTAGTTTCCTTTGCATAAGCTTGATCAATTTTTGCCATATTTTATCTTTTCACCTCCATTTCCAAGGAAATAAGAGGGATGGGTCAGTAGGTCTGATTGTTGTTCTGCAGATTTCTAGTCCAAACAACTTCCTTGAACGGCTTGCTCCTCTCGCGGTCGCTCTCCTCCTCTCTATTTCTTGATGGTTGTTTCATTATCGCCAATGTGATGCTATTGTTTTACAGAGACCGCCATAGCTACGATGTCGTTCGACGAGGAGCAAGAGAACATCCTTGCGTTGGTTTCTTCTCAGTTCTCCATTTCACTAGAGTTTTCGTTTCACGTATGATTTTCAGCCCTCATGATCTGGCAAGGAACTCGTGGCAGTTCCGCAGTAGTCGACGACACCGCCGTGGCGATGCTCTCCTTCGAAAGAAATTGGCTGGTCATGTGGTCGTTTCTAAGACGCTTTACGATCCGGCTGATACGCTCAGCAATGTGAGTCGTAGGTGATAACCAAAAAAGGAGCCTGAAAGGCCTACAAGACTAGGGCAGCGGTAGGCGGGTGGTTGAAGAAGTAGGCGCATATCCTCAGGAGTAGGAAAGCTAGGGATTCGATCTTTGCCTGGGCAGAAATCGTGTCTTGAGAGAACTCAAATTGGTGTCAATACCGACGTCAGGCCCAGACTCCGGCTCATGGAGTTCTTACATTACAAAAAATTGGCCGAAGTTGCGAAAGCTAATGATAGTAGTTTCAGAAAGCGAAGAAGCGCCTACTGAAGGAGGAGAGCTGGAACGATTTCCATCCGGACGTTCAGTATTCGCTGAACAAACATCAGCGTTGGAGAACGGTAAGTCGAGGTTCTCACATTTCTTCGACGGTATTATTTGCGGAGTTCATTTTATTCCCTTTGGCAGGGTGTGATCTATTCTATTTTCTTCTGAATAGCCCCTCATTATTCATCTTTGAGAAAAATTGAACAAGTCGGTCTGATAACTGGTTTTGGAACCCTGTCCTTACATTTTTTGTCCAACCTCTGATTTATTTCGTATTTTCTGAACGCTCCTTAGGGAAAGTGGGAGTGATTCCTCAAGATTATTCAGATTTCAGATAGCTCTCCGTACCCTTCTCCGGTGTTGACAGCAGTTCTTTCAGTAGTCTGCTTGAACTCTTATTATTGCAATGTTCCTGTCTGTTATGTCCCTGCTGCCCTGGATAGGTAGTGATGAAGTAGCGTAGAAGTAGGAGGAAGGCCAGGCACAAAACATTTGGTCCCTAGCCCTTTTCATTCGATTCTGCTGTTCTTTCTGACTAGAAGTCATCGGCATCCACTGAATTCTGTAATTTTGATTTCGACTGGAGAGAAGCTCCCTGTTGCTCATACAGAACACCGTTTCTAAGCAGCGCCTGAAGTTATTTGATATGCGTAGGTGGAAGAGAGGAAGAGGTTGGGAACTCCGTGAACGATCGAAGGTCGAGGGCGATGGCATTTGCGAACGATCTGTCGCCTTGCCACATGTTGGTGATCGTTGGACCTGGTCGGATATCAGTTAGATCATAGACGACGAAACGCAAACGTCAGCAGCCTGATGCATGTATCCCTAGGGATACGTCCGTAAAGTGGGCTGACTATCCTGTGCGGGTGGCAAATAGGGCTGATTTTCGATTCCAGCTTCATCTTTCCCCTCTGGTAGCTTCCAATTGCAGCTCGCTTCAGGTTGGAGAACGAGAAGAAGAGAAATATGTGGCTCTTGTGTGCCATTACTGGATTTAACTGCATTTTCCAAAACCCTAAAGTCAGCATTAGTCTTTCGTCCGCTTGTATTCACCACTCATTATGATGCTCTTGTGAGGTGTCCACTGAATTGATACCGCCATCTTGGGGGGCTCTAGTACGACTAGATTCGTCGACTTCTTATCTAAAATTTTCATAGGACGCTGAACCCTCTAAAAAGTAGGTCCATAGAGTATCAGTTATGTAAGCGAATTTAGATCTCCATTGTGTCGTTGGATTGAGTAAATCAAACGGCACTCATCAGGGCTTACCATACTGGTTGAGGGTGTTGTCCATTTGTCCATTTCTTTGCTCTCTCCGTCTCCAATCGTCCATCTGCTAGCCGTTCGTTCTCTATGTAGTGTGTGTGCACATAAAGGAATGGTTTAGTGAGTTCGGTAACAGGTTTACGCTCCAGTCGACGATAAATTTGGTCCTCTCCATCCAGCGTTAATGGGCACGGAGGCACCCGACTGGACAGTAGTAAATTGATGACTGAGATTTGTATAGTGACTGGGGTGCGTGCGTAACATCATGCCATCTGTGACTAGTCACTGGACTCCAAGAGCAGAGAGAGCCAATCAGTAGAGGTAAGAACATTGGAAAAGTCCATTAATACGGAGAGGGGAATTGGGGTAAGGGAGAACGGGGAAGGAGGAAAGGTGGGAGGGTAGGGGAAGGTTACTGTAATTTCATCAGCTTTCCCAATTACCTACAATCACCTCTCGACGCTCGTTTTTGTCCACGAGCTACTTCTTCCTACTGTATCTTTTCTGTTCTTTGTTCATGCAGATTAGCTCATCAGTCCCACAACAATGTAACTCCTTTAAGTATCAACCGCTACCATGACGTACTGCTCGAAGGAATTTTCCCAGCTTTATAGAAACAGCTTAGCTTAACTGCTCTACGGTGATAGACAACTCTCACATTGGTTGATAAATTTGAAGTCTCTAGGTGAGGGTAGGTAACAAAACCTATGAAAGAGATCTGGAAGAAGTAACTCATGGCGCGCAACCGGTTGAACCTACTGCGGCATTAGCGGTAGCAGAATTTTCCATTCTCGCCACATCCATTATTACTCAGTTTCCGATCCAACGTCAATTTTGCAATTTTAAGTTTGCTGAAAATTTTTAGATTAACGTTCCATCACTACTCGAAAACAACGATCGTTCTGACCTCGAAGTTCTCGTTGTCAATCGCGTGATCACCCCAAGAAGTAGGTTGTCAGCTATTTTTTCAAGTTTTTCATGATTCGCCCACTCAACGGTGAACTAAAAACCTTTAGAAGCATTCATGGCATTTAGTTTACTCACCATTTCTTTCTTATTTTATTATTTTCATTCTAGAATTTTTTTNTTTTTTTAATTTTTTAAGATTTGAGCGACATTCAAAATCTGGATGTTTCAAATGTGCATATGAAGGATAATGGGATGATCAGTACGCTTTCAACGAGAGGAAAAGGGCAAAAGGTCGGCTCGGTTTCCTAGCCAATGTCTTGCTCTCAACTGCTGAATGTGTCTGTTTTCTGAGGAATAGTACTTTTCAGCTCTCCCATTTCCATGAAACATTGAGAGAACGTAGACAGATGGACAAAGATGAGGTTGAGCCGGCAAGAATCCTCTTCAACGTTGTTGAGCCTCATCCGGTGCTCAGCATTCTGGCTGGGAAGACTCAAAGAAGTAAATTTTTGGTGGTTGACCAGTTATTATATTCTAATGAGGGCGGAAGTGGTATATGAGCAAATGGCCCACCACGTAGGCCGGGAATCGAAGCCTGGCTAGATACTTCTCTAGATTAGACTGGCCTCCCATCGTTGTGGGACCAATCAATTCGTTCAAGACTAGTCCGGGACTTTTGCAATTGCTCGGCAGCGCAATTCATTGTATAGGTCCCATAGGCTTTCAAAACATCCTTGGTTTTGGATGGGAGTCTAATTACCTAGTTCGCAACCTGAGAACAGGATTGATGAGCGTCAAAGACTTCAAACTTTCGATCTAAAATACTTAGGACCACTTTTTTAGAGAATAAGAGAGGATCGTGGACGAAATCTCGTCATGTCGACTACGGCTCTGACTTGTCGCATGAGAATCGTTCTGAGGACGAGTACGAAGACCGGCCTGATGTGTCGCTAGACGTTGCAAGAGCTCCCAGGTAGACGATTCACTTAGAGTCTCCCGCATCCAATAATTTACCGGTCGTTTGCCTCATCATTCAAAAGTGCTCATTTTAGATCGTCGTTCACGCTGGGAGATTTCTTAGTGAATTCATCGCCTTCAAAGGACACGAGTGAAGATTATGTAGAAGAAACCGACAGTTGGGAGGTCATAGATCCCGAGCCAGAATGGCCAACAGAGGTTTGGCTGGTGAATTCTTCGGGTAGCAAATCAGGGTTTCATAGAACTCGTTCAGATTATTCAACCGAAGCCAGCTGATCTAGTCGATATCTCTGCTGCCACCAATGCCGATTCAGTTTTCGAAGTAATCGATGTGGAAACAAAGAATTTGCAGAACTTCGATTTTCACAGAACGGTAGCTACTCCGACTCCTTCGTGTCCCCCCTTTTCTTTGATTCTGTTGATATCTGCTTTTTCCAGGTTTCCCTTCTAGAGCAAGAACGCGTGGTTGTCCGTTGGATCGATCAGGATCGCGCCATGGTTGATGCAAGTCGTCAGGCTCGGGTTAGCGGTGACGAGCTTTTACAGAGGCCGTTGCTTATCCTCTTCTTCGAGTTAAGGGACGGTGGCCGTGTACTCAGGTAATTCTTGCTCACCTTTGTCGAAAGCTCGACTTTGCTGGACTGCTCCTACAAATTTCCAATTGTTCGGCTATATCTTCTTCCTGGCATGGTCCAATACATAGCTTCAGGACCCAAAAATTCGAAAAAAAACGGCCTCTTCAGGGTACGAGTCAACGCAAATGCTCGATATGTGAATGGTTCCGACCGTGGGGCCTTTCTTCACCGTGCTAAGTGCCATACTGACTTTACGTCTCTCCTGAATCATATCGCAGAGACTGTTAGGTCCTTGAGATTGAGGTTAGTGGTTTTGATAAAAAACCCTTTCGAATTTTCATTCCTACGGGATCCTCATTGATCTTATTCAGGAACTTGGATGTTCCAAAAGAAAAATCTCGTTGCATGGAAAATGAGGAGTTTTTCGCAGCAGATGTCAACAGTGAAGCCTTAGCCATAAAGGTTCGTTTCGTTAAATACCATTCTGAAGTAGAAGCCATGACATGGCTCAACCCTAAGGGCCGAGCTATTATGAACATTCGCAGTAACTTGCACCTTTCTTTCTAGTCACTGCCTTGGTGACAAATGTGAGGAAAGATTTAGCAAATGAACTTATTTTAATGCTGGAACCTACAAACGGTATCAGAAAGCTCCCATTTTTCACAGAAGGAGTGCCGTGTGAGAGAATGCAGGCCGAACTAATAACAAAGCCCCTGAATGAGTTGCATAAATGATGCTGGCTCTGCCCTCCTAATGGATGGCAAAGGTGCGTGTCATATAGTCTGATAAGTGATACGATGTCGTCGATTATACCAGTAGATTGAGAAGGCAAGAAAATCTTACTCTAAAATTTTAAAACTCTTTCTAGTAAAAGGTCAGGGNTGAGCTAGGTACGACCGAAGAAAAAGGGTGAGGCGGGGAAGGGGTAAATGCGATAAGTGGAAATAGTGCTCAGAAAGTTAAAGATCTTCATGCCTATGATATGACGGTCGTGTATTCAGTGAGGGCAGTGATCACTTCTTTAATGGGTAGATTCGTTGAACAATGCACAAGCTGTAAAGAATGCCCCGAACGAAATTTCAGTCGTGCTTCAATGTACCTTATGACTCCAACGATAATGTTCATCATTCGTTTGGAAAGTTGATCTAATGAATTCAATTCCACCATTCGTCTCGTATTTTCAGGCAGATCGCTGCAACGAATACGATAGGCTACAGTTTTTGAGGGATGTTGGCAATGAAGCTGACAGCAGAAGGACTAATGAGCTTGAGGTAATTGTGTTTCTGCTCGTTTTTTCATCGTCGTTTCTTGTTTTTCATCTCATTTGGGTTTTTGTTTTCGTAACTTTCAATGCGAGGCTTTTTTGAAAAATTTTGTGTGGTCATAGATTTTGGTTTCAAACACACTCTTTTTAAGAACATTCCTTCCGTCCACTGCTGTTGTTCGTCATGGAAACGAACAGAGTTCTTCGAAACAAAAGATGGGATGAGTTGTCGAGACTGCATTACCTCGCACATAGTACATCAACTTCGTCTCAATCATGTTCCAGTCGACATCTCGGTAAGGAAGTGATTCCGTGGAGACAAGTATTTCAATAGAATAGTGAAGGGCAAGCAGATATGTGAATCAGCGTTAAAGATAGCCTTTTTCGTTATTGAGTGGCCCGAAAAAAAGCTGAGCACCTGTTTGAAAAGTCCCCACATATAGTTATTGATTTGAAACTTAAAAATTGATGGTCAAAGGGAAGAGGGAGCGGGCAAAATTTCGCCTTCATTACATTATGAAACATGAGGTGGAGGAGGGCGTTGTGAGGCTGGGGAAAGGGTGGTGTAGGGGCAAGCGGCACACACTTTCTCGCACACACGTTGTCGAGCTCGAATCCCATATCGACATCCGTCTAGGCCGGCCAAGACGTCCATCTCTTCGGGGTCGTTTTCTTGATACCAGACTCATCTGGGAGGACAAGAGCTCTGTCTTGTACATCGGCTGGCCACCGCAGGTCATTGAATAGGCTTCATACGTATTCAATACGGCGCTATGGTTCTGAATGAAAACCGAATCCGGGAGCGACGAGATTGAACAACTCTCGATACCTTTATTCTCTTCTTTTCACTTTATGAAATATGACGAAATTAAACTACAAGGGCCATACATTTGGCCTTTGAAACCCTCAAAAACGCCTTCTGATGGGACAAACGCATAGATGCCATAGTATCAGTACGAAATTCCTCAGTATTTTTCCAAATAAGTGTCTACTTTCTGTTACTACACTTTTATACCCTTCTTCCTCGCTGCTGCAGTCCTCGTCCAAATGGCCGGATACGACAGCTTTTATTTCGGAATCCATAACACATCCGTGGATCTGACGGGCACTGCTTTGATCGTCACCTGCACGGTCCTTGATCAGTCATTGTCCTGTTTTGTGTAGGTAATTTTGTAGAAAAGCACTCAGCGAAAGGAAAATGTATAAGTATGCTTCGAAGCTCCGTCATTATTGGAAATAGCCTAATTGAGAGTTTAAAATAAAAACCTGCATAGCCTGCGTAGCTCTGAAAGGGTCCATAGCGGGAGAGCCACGTAAAAGGCAAAATCGGTATGTTGCGAATGAGGAGATCAGTTGAAAAATCCATTCTCAGGGGTAGGGGGGGGGGGGGGAGGGGGGGGGGGGGNGGGGGGGGGGGGGGGGGGGGAAGGCGGAGGGAGGCTATTCAAATCCCTTTCAGAGACAGCTCAAGTACCGTCTATGGAATTTCCTTTTATTACAATACTTTTCAGCTTCCATCTATCGAAAACCTTTCGAGTATTGATCTCCTCTATGCGGTCCTGCCAGTGCCACTGATCTCAGTTCTAATAAAAGTAGGTTTCCGATACTTTTAGCATTCAAGTACTTACGAGTAATTCGTCTCCGCATCATACTGGTCATGAAAGTAGAATATAAGGCGAAGTGTTTATTACTGTTGGCCTGGTTTCAATTGGTTCTTACAGATGTCCTACTCCTATTATCGTCACCTTCGTGATCCAAATGTTGTATTTTCTGAATGCCCTCGCTGTACTGTCGAAGTAGCGATCGCTTCTCCCAACGGTATTGACCTTCGTTCTCATTGAATTTTCAATTTTACCAGCTCCCGAATTAGCTTGAGCAGCAGACCTCTGCTCTTTCTACTATCTGGAATTCAGAAGACAGTACCAATTGCATCTGTCCCGAATGTGAATCCCATTGGTGTTGGCTGTGTAACTCCGAACCACATTGGCCGATGAGCTGTGAAGAATTCAAGCAATGGGTTAGCAAATGGGATCAGCAATGTAAGTTTCTTGCAGCTTGAAACTTTTCAATTTTTTCGTAACATTGAGAATTTTGAAAGTACGTCCTCCCTGTTTTTAAGATTTCGTCGACAAGTACCGTTTGCAACCGGATGAAGATCTACTACGCATTACTTGCCTGTGTGGTATCGTTCTTATTGTAAGTTCAGCTGATGTCACATCTTTACATGACGTTTCGGTAACTTCTTAGCTGCATGTTAAGGCAGAATGGCAATGGCATATTGTAGTGCTAAATACGAGAGGACCCTACGAAGTTGGAATACTTCGCATTAGGGTATATTAGTAGGCGGTTCCTTAGGTAACTCGACTTCCATGATTCACCGATGTGGAATTCACTTAATGTGATCTTAAATGATCTGGTCTTTGGTTCCCGGCACAGACCATCCCCGGAAATCAACAACAAGATCTACCAGAGAAGTTTTTTTCACAATTTGTCACTTTTCAGTTACCAAGTGAGTCAGCTCATAACACAGTATGCCGATGTGGCCATCGGTACGACAAAACTGGTCTGATGAGCCGGAACTCCAAATACTTCCCTTATTATGCATGTTCAAGAAAATTCCACGATTTGGAAGGAAAACCGAAGCAGGTACTACTCAAATTTTCTAGTTCCTATCCCAAAGAACTGGGGGTTTTTTAAATGTATATTTCTTTGAAGTCAGTAAACTTTCTCAGTCCTTGGGGGGATTCCTTAACGTATATGAATTCTCCGATTTTGTACGATCAACTCACTCGATTTTCTAACTTTATTTTTCAATTTAGGGTGATCCAGTGCCTGTCGAACGAATTGCACCAGTGCAGTTGATTGCAAAAGAGTTCGCCGATGTAAGTGATTATTTCCGGAGGAATCTCCGTAGATTTTATCTAAAAATGACTTGTCATGAATCTATGGCCCAGAAGAAAGGTACCGATAGATCGGGCTTAGCTCTGTACCTCCAGAAGAATTCTCCATCATACTGAAGTTTATTTAAGTTTAAGCATTGCTTTGGGGACGTTTCCTGGACGGAAGCATAAATTAATTGTCCTAGCAGACCGCAGAAACTGCAACAGGAAGCTTCAAAAGCTCCAATATGATTGATTGATTCAATATTTAGATATTGATTCAAGTTTAATGTGATATATTATTATTATTATTATTATTACTATTATTATTATTATTATTATTATTATTTTTGTTATTATTATTATTATTATTAATATATTATCGCAGCGTCGACAGATGCGGTATAACCCATCTATCACGAAGTTGTCAAACTCGACGAGTATATTCAAAAAGTCGGTAGAGGTCTACTTTCAAAGAAGCTCTGCATACATTTGCATCCGACCGAAATAAGAACGAACGATCGTGGTCGTCTCTAAAATTACCCTTTTTCTATCCCCGAACGCAATGACTACCCACTTGGTTTGCTTGTAAGATCCTATTGGTTGCCCTTGAAGGGGTCAAAACAACGTGAAGAATAGGTTTTTCAGAGCTTGCCGTAA